ATTGAATTCTTTATAAGGTGGATTATGGTAAATCCATTTTCCGAGCCTCCATTACTTCGAAAAATGCGTTACAAGCGTCAACTTTCTTAGAAGAATTAGATCTATGTATTAAAAAGTATATTTTAAGTTCGTCCATGTAACGGCTTTCTAAATCAATTGTCAATTGAGCGACGAAACATCTCTTAAATACACTGAATCACTTACGATGATTAAATAAGAAAATGTTGTAATTGCAAGAAAGGCTAATACGAACTTGACCTTGTTTGCATTGACCTTGAATTCCACCGAAATACGCTGATAGTTTATATTCTGTTTCTCCGCTTTGTAAAAAGAGATAGATATCATGTAAATCAATAACTTGTTTGATGGCTAGTGCACTGTCACTTCTAGATCCAAAAGAACAGAAGTTGATATTAGTTGCATTTGAAATGAGTGTTTGATTATGATGATATAAAGTTGGATGACCATATGCGGTATGCCAGTGTTGAATACTGCCGTTGAATGAGTCACACTAAAAAGATTTGTTGAAGATAAGATTAATTAATATAGGAAAAAGGTAAATTTTATTGAGTTACATTTTCTTCAGCATCACTGTTTTTCACATGATTCGAAGAATCAATGAGCCAAGTGCCATTTGGTAGTACAATATTTTTCAGTGTTGATATTCCAATGGATCTTATATTGACGATTGAATTTGAAAGATTGGTGTTAACGAAAAAAACAGTTAGCAGTTTTACTTCACTGAAATTAGCATAAGATAAATCGACGCCTTCGAATTGAACATCACATAAATGTGCTTCTCGAAAATCAATGAAGACCATGGAACTTTGTGAAAATATATGACTTCTTTCATCATCGTCATGGTCTAAACAATTGAACTCTGTTCGTTGAAAATTGACAGTTGACAAATTTGAGTCATTAAAATGGGTTCCTCTCCAAAATTGGCAGTTGAGAAACGATGCATTTGTCAAATTCACACTGAATGCGTTCAATTTTTCATGGAATTCTGTATGAATAAAGTGAGTATTGGTCAAAATCGAACGACTAAAATCAGTTTGTCCATGAAAATGACAACCAGTGAACGATGCATTTGTCAAATCCATACTGAATGCATTCAATTTTCCATAGAATCCTGTATCAACAAATTGAGCATCGACCAGAATTGAACCATTGAAATCGGTTTGACCATCAAAAATACAATTAATGAATGTAGAATTCATCAAATTGACTGATAATAATGATAATTGACTGAAATTATATTTTCCAGTGATTGGACTTTTAACAATGATATTGCTCAGATCAGCACCAGTTAAATCAACTGTTGAATTAGGTTTCATCGCATCGGGAAGCAACTTATTTTCATAAAGAAATATGAATAACTGGTTTTTCCGATCACTATCGATACTTCTCAAAATGAGTAATGTCTTACGACGAATATATAACATCTTATTATCTTCACTGATGAAAATCGATTGATTTTGTCCTGATTGTTTATAAATTGCTGTTGAAATTTCTTCAATATAATTTCCAAATAGAGTTTGATAATGTAATTCATCTGCTTGTTGTTGATCTTCATGATGTTGTTCATGTGCCAATTGTTGTTCTTGTAGACGTGTCTGATTTGCAATTTCTATATCTTTCTGTCGATTACGTTCATTTATTTCATTTGTTTGAATATAGGAGATAACAGTAAATATAGCGATCATTAATGGAATCGAAGCAGAAAGGGCAAGTTTAATCCAGACTAGACATCGTCGTCGTTTTAGTTTACTATCACCTTGATTTCGTTTCTGCGGTAGATCAATTCCTGTCTGACGTTGAACTTTTTGCTGAAAAACTTGTCGTATCGGCATGTTTCTTGAAGTCTTTGGATTGATTATTAAAAAGTTTCTGATTCTTTTCTATACAGAGAAACACTTCAATTGATAGATGTATATGTTAAAAGAACCCTTATGTTTTGTCAAGAAAACAAGAGAATTATATCAATTAGTATTCTATGTAACTGATATGTTTAATTCCTTTTCGTTAACATTTTAGGTTAAGATTAAATTACTGTACTCACAAAAACACCTGTAAAAGATTAACCTAATATTTAAAGGAAAACAGTTTCTTTACTTATAAAAGCATAGTTTCGGATTTCAATGTTTTAAAATAGAGCAAACAGAAAAGAAAAGAGACACTCATGCATGAGATTAGTTTAATATTAAGCAACATATCATTGTGCGGAAGAATTTTCTTATTCTAAAATTAGCTCTTATGAAATTTGACTTTCCTTAAAAGTATGAAGAATTCGAATGATATGAAATAAATCTAAAATCTATTGTTTATCTTTACTAAAAACGTAAATATTTTCCTTATATATATGTGATGTTACTGAATTTGTTGCTTATGAATAAACACTTTGAGCTCTTCTTTATCATTAGGAAAAACAAAAAGCTGATTCGGTGACTATATGACGAAGATATAAAAACTATTATTTTTCCTAGATGACTTTTGTGACATCCTCAAGATTCAAATTTGAGATTTTAAAAGCTTTTCTCAGCTAAAATATATGTTTTCCTTCTTATTATCTATTTTTTATTAAAACAACGAAACAAAAGATCATAGAAATACAGTTTTTATAAAAGAAAAAGAACAATATTTAATCACTAATATTAACAATCTGTTCAGTCTGTTGAATAACAGAATCAATTTTATCTTCGAATCATTGAACATCTTCTACTTTAAGTACAGCCCTGGGCAAAAGTTCCTCCCGCCCCCATCCTCCCCCCTCCCCATTCCAACCATCATAGAGACTAGAAGTCTGAAAATTTGTGCGCACATACTCCATCATGAATGCAGGTCGGTAACACCATGTGTACTCCAATTGTTTGAATGAAAACGGAATTGTGATGGACACTATAGACGTTTTTTGCGCTTAGTTTCATAACTTGAACAGGTTCTCTACTAAAATTTGTCCTATTTTCTAAAACTACATGATTAGGGTAGGGATGTGTGGTAGGGTGTGGATGTAGGTGTGTGGGTGTGGGTGTAGGCGTGGATGTTAATCTTTCCTTTACTAACCCACACTCATACCCTTATTGTTTTTTTGCAGAGTAGCATCTTCTTGTACTGATTATTGAACGGGAACAGATTGATCTCTCTTGACGGACATTGATGTTTTTATTATGGATTTGCACTTGATGAACTTAAATGGATAAATAAACATTGAGGATTGAACAAAGAAAGATTCGACATCAATGAACATGAACTACGAAAGGAAAGTCACTTCTTCTTTATTGAACGTTTTACTACATGTATTAGCAATTGCCGATGACTTCTAACCTTATGCCACGTAAATGAGTTATTTTTATAGAAAATATCAATTAACATGATCATTAGTAGATATGATCAGTGAAAACTTAAAGACTTAATCAATGGATCGTTGTATGCGATCTAATTCGTCTAATATCTATACAATCTTTTCAAAGTCAGTGATAAGCTCAATCATTGATAATTGAGATTAATTATAATTCAGAAGTGACTTTTTTAGAATAAAATTCTTTTTAATTCACAATGAAGTACCATTCTTTCAGAAAGGGTCAGAGAATCCGTAGGATGAGGGCTACTTGTTTTTTTACATAATACTTTTTATTTACGTTTAAGATCTATTAATAAATAAACTTTAAAAATGTTGAAAATGCAAACAATGGTAACCATTTTTAACTTCATAGATAGTTAGATCTTAGGAATACACCGTTGTATATAGAGGAATAAATTTGCGTACATAAATCAGTATCTTTATTGTTCAGTTTTCAAATCAGTTGCTGGATATGAAATGGTGTGTTTCTCGAGTTGATAACGTGGTGCAATCGTTTTGCTTATTGATAATCCACGGGACATTTCAACTCGTTTTAAAAAATCGAGCTTTCTTTCATCAGGTAAAACGGTTATTGGTGCCGATCCAGGAAGATTTTCAAACGTAACGACCACAGCAGCCATGAGTTCGCTGTTTTTCTTAGTGTTCATATTCTTCAATTGTTCAACGGTACACACTCCATACCAGATTGTCAGTCGACATTTCGATTCTTGAGGATAAACGACTCGATGGATACCTGATTTCAATCGATTTTGTGTTACTCGAGCAGCTGCCTCACCCAACCAGATAACACCAATGTTCGATTCTAACGGCCCATCTATCCACTCATCATTAGCCATATTTTTCAATTGAAGTCCTTCGTGTGTCGATAGTATACTAATTGAAAGTAGTCCCGGATCATAATGTGGAACACAATTCACTTCATCGGTTGTTTGTCCCTCATGCGGTGGTTGAAAACCACTCTTATTGTTAAAATAGGATACAATGTCGAGCATACCGAAATACTCATTCTATAATGGCAGATCGGCACGTTTCATAAGGAATGGCAAAGATTGTTCCTGTTGGAATACTGTATACTGATCAAGAATTTCGATTAAACGCTTTGTCACAACATCAAATATTCGAGAAAGATAATTCAAAGGTTCAATAAGTCTGGCTGGTACTAATCCTTTATTTGCAAAATTCACCGAAATAACTGCCTGTCAATAGTTTAATACCTTCTTTGTGATTAACTTGAGAATAACCATATATTCCGTGCCACTGTGAATATTTATTCTTTCGATCGGTCGCTTGAAAAAATGTCGATAGTTCATTGACTAAATTTGAATTTGAAATGAGTTCTGTTGGTAAAAAGACGAAACACCAACCATTCAATGCAAATTCGCTTTCCATTCGTTTAACTTCAGTACGATCATTCAGATGTAATATTTTATTCAAGTCGATAATCACATGAGCTGTTTCGTTTGATGAAGACATTTTTCTTGAGTAGTCGTCAATGCTCTTTCCTCTTGATTCTATTGTAGTTATGTAACAACTATTTCTCTGTGTAAGCAAAAAACAACCAGTTATTGCACAATATTTCATTTCTTTTCTTTTTATCTAACGTCAATGATTGAGAAATTTTGCACGATCATCAATGACTCACTCAGAATGATGACCTTAAAAGAGAACATAACAGTTGAATTAAGATGGGTGTGGGTGTGGGCTAGGAGGAGATCAACACCCACATCCACGCTCCACACATCCACGCCCCACACTCACACCCACATCCTTTCATCTGCTCTTTCCAACGGTGAAAACCGCACTTCCGTATAATTTTCCTATCAAAAGTTATTCAAAAACTACTCACCCGCCTTCTATTTTGAAATGGGCAGTAGTTATGGCCGCTTAGTCTCACCCTCACCTCCTCACAGTATGCTTCTGCTGACACACTCACACCCACACACCCACATCCTCAGGCTAGTCATGTGGACGTCGCCATATTTTCTGTGTGCTTTCCATCAAGGAGATACTATCATCTGAGTTTCAAACAAGATTGATTTATTATGTGATATAGATGAACACACAAATGATGATTAGTGATAATAAAATGTTTTGTTAAATGGTTAGTCAGAAGGAAAACGCTGACTTGATGAATTTAGACTATCAAAATCGGAAATATTCGGAGATCATCATTATGATTTGGTGCAGGAATTCTTGCTGAAAACGCTTGTCCAATTTCCCATGTTATTCCAAACGACAGTGAACATAGCAGGGACCGAAGAGTATTATGAAAGTTAGACGATAATTGAGTAGAAATTTTGGAATTATAAGACTTTAAATTATTCAAAGCAGCAATTAGAACATTTTGAGCGTCAATTACAGATACTCTGTTAGCATGTGCTAATCCTACTAATATATTGGCAGCATGTATGCGATTTTCGATAGATGACGATTTGAAAATATCAATAAGGAATTCAACAGTTTCTCGGACGTTTACATTTGTGCCGGCGAAGCTCAAACGTGTTGAGATACTATGATGATGACGATGATAATATCCTGGTGTTAGATTGATGTCTGACACCATCAGCATTGAAACGAAATGTTCTGTTAGTTCATTAAACCATCTGTAAAGAGTTAAACAAACTTTTCGTGACCAAGAGTCTACATTTTTACTGGTTTCGTAAAGAGCCTCCTTAAAAAGCGTCTTCTTCACATGGACTTATTCGTACTGCATGGCAAAACTCAGTTGACCGAGTATTGTAAATACTCGCTGCTAGTCTCAAATAAATATATTTTAGTAAATATGGCGTAACGTTGCACAAAGCATTGTACATATCCTTAATAAACGTTGGTGGTATAACGGATGCACGTTTTCCACCAGCTAAAAAGACATGAAGCTGAAAAATTTCTAGCATATAAATTGTCCATTCTCAATCTGTGCACAAAGTCCCAGCTCTATTGAACGTGCTGACTTCGAGATCCACATTTTGAAGAAAGACAGGCGTCAAATGCTTGATCTGTTAAGTATTTTGAAACGACTACTAGTGAACACATCATAATTATGAACGATTTTGAAATGTCTGAACAATCGATTTTAGCTCGAATGCACTACTCTACAATGAACATCTCGTATCGTGAATACTTTTTTCGATCCCAATGGTGTTCACAATAGAGAGGTTTTACTTTAATTCATTGTTTTTATATTTATACTTGTCTTTCTTTTTTATTCTCCTAACTTTTTTAATCAGTGATTATCAAGCAAATATACATCATGTTAATAGTAATTAAAAAACCCTTTTTGCTTGAAACCAACGATTATTGAATAATTTTTATGATTTCTCTGAAATTCTATCTCTTTGTTCATTGATATCATATTCTATTATGTCTCATAATCGCCTTCAAACAGTAGCAAACTTCTAAAAGTACGGACTCAAGTACTTCCAAGATGAGTGAAATCCGGAAGTTTGCCATTTTCGCTTGTACCAATCGAGTTCGAAGGCATGGGTGTAAGAATATCAAATTCACCCCAAACACTCACACCTTCAAGCGAAGTACAAGCATACTTACACTCAAAACAGATAACATTATGTATTATGCAGAATATGAAAGATGTTAACTATTTCGAGCTTTTATATACCAGGCAGACAATTACGGCTGAAATTTACTTCTAAAAATTGCAGCATTTACATCGAAGTCCTACTTCAAAAGAGACCAGTTTTGCCCAATCGAATAGCCTTTAGTCTCCTTCATCACAACGAATAACCTTATCTTGCCAAGTTCACTAAGCAATATTGAACAATTACTATGGAAAGTTCTTGCACACGCACCGAACTCATCAAATCTTACCCTATATCGAATCATCTTTTTCGATCTCTTCGAATCCTTCTGGACAAGAACCATTACGAAGACTTCAATGAACTCGATTCCAATTCCACTAATCGTTTTTCGAATCACCACTGGCTAGTTTCTGGAAACGTGAGATCGAAACATTGCCAGAAAGATAAACGAACATTACCGAAAATCATGACGATCATACTATTGATTGATGTTACATATCCTTGTCGTAAACTAAATTTCATCTTAAAAAAGAAAATTTGCAGAACTTATTTTTTCAACCCAATACATTATATATATTTATTTAACAAATTAATTTATTTCACATATTCCTACATATTATACATAATCATTTTCATTTTTATATAGATATAATTTTCTTACAACAATACACAAGACAATTTTCTCTTATTTTATTCTGCTTTTCTTTAATTTAATACTTTATCTTTTTGTCTTTCAAATTATTAATGGATAACTTATTCTTGCATAAGGAAAATATTCTTGTAAAGAATCGGAACATATTGGTTCACCACTTAATTCTAATTCATTTATTTTGGCACAATTCATTCTTGTAGTATCTCTTGTAAAATTGTGTGTTACTCGTTGTAAAGATTCACATTTAATACGAAGAAGAACATTATTTTGGAAATAAGTTTTAGTATCAAAGAGAAATTCTTCTATATAATCATCATGGACATTGAGAAGATCAAGTTCACTAAGAAAAGAATATTCAATAACAGATGAAATTCGATCATCATTGTTTGATTCATAAGATTGTTTGTCAGTTTGTCCTTTACGATTAATCACAGTTAATTCTTCCATAAATGGAAATGATTGAACAATTCGAAGAAAAAATCCATGTTCAAAAGGATATTCATCACATAATGACACTACACGAACGTAATTGAATAATCCACCTGGAAAATTATTTGTAATATCACCGTAATATGGCATAAAAGATGGATATGAATAAATGTGACATCGACCTCGTTCTTCCTCTGGAAAATAATCAACATAAGAAATAATTTCATTATTTGGAAAGTCAATGAATGTATGTTGAATATCTTCTGTTAATGGCAAATTCAATTTATTACCAGTATACATGAATGAGCGAATATAAAATGTAAATTGATTTAATCTTAGCATACGATTAATAATGTTTTTCTTCAAATGGTTCCCATCAATAAACGTTTCCTTAACAAATACCACAAGACACAAACCGAGTTCTTCTAGATTTGACATTCGATAGAGAAGTGGTGGGATTAATTCACCGTAATGATGTGTTTCTTCATTACAAGACAAAGAAAAACACTTTAGATTTGGTAACTCTCCCTGAAAAAAAACAATTTTTTTTCTTTTCTTATTTGATAACATAGAGGTTTTTTTGTAAAACTCACTTGATTTTGAATGTGATGTGGACGAGGAATAGAAGTCAAATCAACATAGAGTGTGTGAAGTTGATTAAAACGACCATCAAGATGATAAAGACAATCATCAAAAGATTGTATTCTGACATTCAATTTTAAAAGAGTTGCGGAACGAAATGTACGAGAAGGTGGATCAGCAAAATATAATGAAAGACGATTTTTATACGATGATTCATAGAATGTTAAATGAATGAGATTGGTGAAAACGGTGCAAATATAATCAAATATGTTTCTTGTTGACAATAGCATTTCGTCATAATCATCATTGTTATTATTATTATGAATAATAATAAAAAGTGTTGTAATTTGATTTTTGAAAATACCAGATGAAAGAATTTCATCTAAACATATGAGTAGAATATTACTAAGAAAAAAAATCTGCGAAAATAATTTCAATATATTCAATGAGGGAGTCATCTATAGGAATAAGTTTGATAAATCTTTGATTTATTGAGAATCAAAGACAATGAAATAGAAATTCCTTACCAGTAAAAAGGTATCGAGCTGACTCTTCACTAATATTATAAAGACCGAGACCATATAAATTAGGATAATGAGCAGCACATAAAATGTATTTCATCGATGATGATTCAAGATCAAGCCATTGGATTTTATGACGAATTTCAGGTAAAATTTGTAAACAAAATCGATTAAGGATCGTATCACAAAAAATTAGATCGATAAAATTATGTGAGAACCATTTAACAAAGGTCAAACGACTTGTAAAAATTGGATCGTGAATAATTTGATTTAGTCGTTGATTGACACCTTGTAAAGAATAAAGTACATCTAGATTATTGAGTTTTTTGAAAATAATCATAAGAATTTCATCAGGTAAATCGTTTAATCCAATGCATGAATATTCCATGCTTGTTTTTACTTATTTATTCTTTTTCGTTTATGAAAAGTCAATCTTTATATACAGTAGAGTGCAAAAAAAATTGCCGTTTAGTGTATTGACTTTCTTTAAAACTGTTTCGTACGTTCTTCGAGCGATTTTTCTCGAGTTATGTGCAAGTATTAGGTATTGTCTTGGTGCATTCAATGAGACGGCAATTGCTCGAAAACTGTTATGCATTTGCCCAAAAATGACTTATAATTCAAGCATTACGTGCATCTGATCTGACCAATAAATCATATTACATAATTGAAGTAATGATTATCGAGAAGAAGTTTGAAACTACTGTATAACGATGATCCTTATTCACATTAGTTATGATAAAATTTTCAAGATTGAGGAGCGTAACACTGTGTTATAATAAGGCTAACAATAGGATCGACCAGCCTTAAATAGGTAAAATTATCGTTTGGCTACTTAATAGCACAAGTCTGAATCTAGTTAAATTATTCTTTCAGACCATTCAATCAATTGATATGAATGAAAAACTTTAAGATATTGATGAATCAAAAAGATTCTGACCCGACAACTGAATTAAAACTGATGCGTAACTTGTAATTTTTTTTATTCTTTCCAAGAACGTAAGATTATTATCTTCTTTAAACTCATAGAGAATGCGAAAGTTTTAATGATTAATATATTTGTATAGTACAGTATCTGGGTAGTACAACAACATTGATAAATCATAATATCTGATACTTCTCTGAGAAGAACTTTGAAAAGTCTATCGGCAATTATTTTTGCACTCTACTGTATATGTTGGAGTAGAAATTAAAATTC